TTGTGCACCCCCTCACCCAGCACCCCCTGACCCTGCACCCCCACGCCCTGCACTCTCCCCCTCTGTGCACCCATGGGTGCATTCCCGTTGCCCCCCCCCTTGCAGTCCCGCCAGGTGAATCGCTCCAACCCACGGGAGGTGCGTGAGGCCAACAAATACTTCTTTGCTGAGTCATGCATTGCGCTCTTCGTCTCCTTCATCATCAACGTCTTCGTCGTCTCCGTCTTCGCCGAGGCTTTCTATGGGAAAACCAACATGGATGTGGTGAGTTGGGGGCCTGGGGAGGGGATCTGGGGGGGGGGAGGGAGGCACTGGGCTGAGCTGGGAGGACAGAGCGGGGTTCTCGATGCCCCCCAGCAGCGCTTGGAGTCTCATTGCAGCATGAGGTTTGTGCCAACGCCAGCAGTGCCCACACAGGGCTGTTCCCGAGCGACAACACCACGCTGGAGGTGGACATCTACAAAGGGGTGAGGAGCTCTGATAGCATTGCTGATAACGGGCTGTGCTGCTGATAACAGCCCCCAGCTCTGATAGCACAACCCCCCAGTTCTGATAACAGCCCTCAGTTCTGATAACAGCCCCCAGCTCTGATAACAGCCCGCAGTTCTGATAACAGCCCCCAGCTCTGATAGCACAACCCCCCAGTTCTGATAACAGCCCTCAGTTCTGATAACAGCCCCCAGCTCTGGTAACAGCCCCCAGCTCTGATAGCACAACCCCCCAGTTCTGATAACAGCCCGCAGTTCTGATAACAGCCCCCAGCTCTGATAGCACAGCCCCAGCTCTGATAGCTGCAAGGCTCTTTGAAGATCACAGGACTGTGGGATGGTTGGGTTGGATGGGTGCTAAAAGATTGAAGAGCCGTGGGATTGTTGGGATGGAAGTGTCCTTAAAGGTCGTTGAATGATGGGGTGGTTGGGTTGGAAGAGGCCTGAAAGATCACAGCACCGTGAGGTGGTTGGGTTTGGATGGTCCTTGCAGATCATAGAGCCATAGGATGGTTGGAATGGGAGGGTCCTTAAAGATCACAGAACCATGGGGTGGTTGGGATGGAAGGGTCCTGGAAGGCCACGTGTCAGTGGCATCCATCTGTCTGTCTGTTGCAGGGCGCAGTGCTGGGCTGTTACTTTGGCCCAGCTGCTCTCTACATTTGGGCCATTGGGATCCTGGCGGCTGGGCAGAGCTCCACCATGACCGGGACGTACTCAGGGCAGTTCGTCATGGAGGTGCTGCCCTCTGCTTTCCTCCCCCTTCACTTCTGCTTTTCCCTCTGAACCTTTTCCTCTCTTTTTCTCCTCTCTCTGTCCTGGAGCGTCTCCTTTCCACTCTGCTCCTCTTCTGCTCTTTTTTCTTATTTACATTATTTTTCTCCCTCTGCTCTTCTCCTCCTTCATCTGCCCAAATTCTGTCCTCTTCTGCTGCTCTTTAGCTCTTCTATCTGTTTCTCCTCACACTCCTCTCAGCTCTCCTCCTCTTCTGTTTTACTTTTCTCTCCTCATCTTCCATTCTGCTCCTCTTCTCTCATTCCTGCATCCTTTCTTTTCCCCTCCTGCTCTTCTCCTTCACCTGCCCCACACATCCTCCTGCGCTGCTCTCCTCCTCCTCTTCTGTCTTCTCTCTTCTCTTCTCCTCTTTCTGGCTCATTTCCTTTCTTTTCCTTTTCTGTTCCCCTCCTTCACTTACACATCCTCCTCTGCTGCTCTTCTTTCTTATCTTCTCACCTTCCTATCGTCTCTTCCCCTCCTCTTCTTTATTTCCTTTATCCTCTTTTTTCCTTTTGCTCCTTGGTCTTTCCTGCTTCCTCTCTCCTCTTCCTCTCCTCTCTGGGTTGTATCCCTTCTTTTCCCCTCCTGCTCTCCTCTCTCACCTGCCCCATGTGTGTCCTCCTCTGCTGCTCTTCTGCTCTCCTCTCTCTGTATCTCCTCATCTTCCTCTCAGCTCTCCTCCCCTTCTTTCTTCCCCTCTCCTCTTCCACTCTGCTCCTCTTTTGTCTTTCCTGTATCCTCTCTTCTCCTTTTCTCCTCCTCTTTCTGGGTTATTTCCTTTCTTTTCTCCTTCACTTGCCCTACTGTGTTCTGCTCTGCAGCTCCTCTTTCTTACCTTTATCTCCCCAGCCTCCTATCACCTCTTCCCCTTCTATTCTGTATTTCCTTTATCCTCTTTCCCTCTTCTGCTCCTTGGTCTCTCCTTTATCCTCTCCTCTTCTCTCTGGCTTGTGTCCCTTCTTTTCCTCTTCCTTGTGTGTCCTCCTCTGCTGCTTTTCTGCTCTCCTCTCTCTCTGTATCTCCTCGTCTTCCTCTCAGCTCTCCTTCTCTCCCACTCTACTCCTATATAACGGTTGCATCCCTTCTTTTCCTCTTCTGCTCCCTGGCCTTTCCTGTATCCTCTCCTCTTCTTCTCTCTGGTTGTATCCCTTCTTTTCCCCTTCTGCTCTTCTCCTCCTTCACCTGCCCCACGTGTGTCCTCTTCTGCTGCTCTTCTGCTCTTCTCTCTATCTGCATCTTCTCATCCTCCTCTCAGTTCTCCTCCTCTTTTATCTCACTTCTGTCTTCTCCTCTTCCACTCCTCTCCTGCCTTTCCTGCACCCTCTTCTCCTCTCTTCTGCTCTCCAGCCTTACCTCCTAGCTCTCTTCTCCCCTCACTGCTCACCGTTCCCCATCTCCCCACATCTCCTCTGCCCCCTTACCCCCATCGCCCCCCTTTGCCCCCCATCACCCCCATCATCACCACCCTTCTCCTTCCTCAGGGCTTCCTCAACCTGCGCTGGTCGCGGTTTGCCCGTGTGCTGCTGACGCGCTCCATCGCCATCACCCCCACCCTCTTTGTGGCCATCTTCCAGGACGTGGAGCACCTGACGGGGATGAACGACTTCCTCAACGTGCTCATGAGCCTGCAGGTGGGCTGGGGGCTCTGCAACGCATCCACAGAGTCACAGAACAGTTGGGTTGGGAGGGAGCTCAAGGAGCACGGAGCTCCAACCCCCACCAATGCAGGGCCACCAACCTCCACGTTTCACAGCAGCCCAGGCTGCCCAGGGCCCCATCCAGCCTGGCCTCCAACACCTCCAGGGATGGACGGGGCATCGCAGCCTCTCTGGGCAGCTGTTCAGCCCCTCACTGCTCTCACAGCACACAACTTCCCTGACATCCAACCTCCATCTGCCCTCCCTCAACTTCATTTCCCCTCGTCCTGCTGCCATCTCCCCTTGCACAGAGCTGCCTCCCCTCCTGGCTGCAGGCTCCCTTCAGGCACTGCAGGCTGCACTGAGCTCACCCCCAGCCTTCTCTTCTCCATGCTGAACGAGCACAGAACTTCCCTGCCATTCAAATTTCCCCCTGACATCCCATTGCTTCCTTTGGGATTCCTTCCTGCAGAGTGGGGCACATGGGGGAAGGCTGCCCCGATCCCAGCTTCTATCAGTGGGGCAGGAGGGGGGGGGTTGGCTGCCTCTGCTCTGTCCCTGTGGGAGCCGACAGGGGTCTGCTTGTCACCCGGCAGTGATGGGACACAAAAGGGAATGGCTGTGATGTGGAGGAGGGGACAGGAAGGCGTTGTCACCCAGACGTGGAGTGATGGGACAAGGGGGAATGGATGCATTGTGGGAGAGGGGACAGGAATCCATTCGTCAGCTGGATGCACAGCAATGGGATGATGGGGACCAGCTGCAGTGCAGAGCAGGGGACAGGAGCCCATTGGTCACCTGGACACAGAGTGATGTGGGATTGTTGGGATGGCAGTGTCCTTAAAGGTCGTTGAACGATGGGGTGGTTGGGTTGGAAGGGGCCTGAAAGATCACAGCACTGTGGGTGTTTGGGTTTGGATGGTCCTTGCAGATCATAGAGCCATAGGATGGTTGGAATGGAAAGGTCCTGGAAGGTCACAGAGCCACGGGATAGTTGGGATGGAAGGGTCCTGGAAGGTGACGTGTCAGTGGCCTCCATCTGTCTGTCTGTTGCAGGGCTGTAGCGTGGAGGAGGGGGTGGGAATCTGCTTGTCAGCCAGACACAGGGTGAGATGAGACGAAGGGGAGGAGCTGTAATGCAAAGGAGGGGACAGGAACCAGCAAATCTGAGTGCACTGAGATGGGAGAAGGGGCAGAAGCTGTAACGTGGAGCAGGGGACAGGAGTGCGCTTGTCACCCGGCTGCACAGTGATGGGATGAGAGGAGCGACTGTCATGCAGGGGGGGTGGGAATCCACTCGTCATCCTGACCCTGAGCGATGGGGTGGGGGGGATGGCTGAGCCACAAAGAAGGGGAGACTGTGGTGGATCTGCACGGGGTGCTGGCAGCACGACGGGGCTCTGGCAGTGTGGGCGTCAGCTCCCTGTGCCGGGATGGAGCTCCGTGGTCACCACGTCCCTCAGCCCAACCCTCCCCGCTCCACGGCCCCACACTTTTCCCATAGGGGCGAAATCCCTTTCTCTGCATCACAGCACCCTCAGTGGTTGCATGGACTCCCCTCCTCACCCCTCCTCCTTCCATCTCAGCTCCCGTTTGCCCTCATCCCAGTGCTGACCTTCACCAGCCTGCCCAGCGTCATGAACGACTTCGCCAACGGGCTGTGAGTACGATGAGGGGGTGGCTGGGGGGTCCGGAGGGGCCCAAAAGGGGTCTGGAGGGGAGGGGGGTTCTGTGCTCAGCTCATGCCGCCGGCAGGTTCTGGAAGATTGGCGGCGGTGCCGTCATCCTGCTGGTGTGCAGCATCAACATGTACTTCGTGGTGGCCTACGTGATGGCGCTGAACCACGTGGGGCTCTACGTCGGTGCGGCCATCCTCAGCGTTGTCTACCTGGCCTTTGTCGCGTACCTGGTGAGCGGGTCCTGCAAGATTGTAGAACTGAGGGGTGGTTGGGTTGGGAGGGTCCTGACAGGTTGGAGAGCCGTGGGGTGGTTGGGTTGAGAAGGTCCTGAAAGGTCAAAGAGCCATGGGTGGTTGGGATCGAAGGGTCCTTGAAGGTCAGAGAACCACAGGATGATTGTGCTTGGGGGTCCTGCATGGGGGGCAGGAAGCAACATGGGGGGGCAGGAAGGAGCACATTTGGGGCAGGAAGGAGCACATGTGGGGCAGGGAGCAACACGTGGGGCAGGAAGGAGGATATATGGGGCAGGAAGGAGGATATATGGGGCAGGAAGGGGCACGTGTG